ATCAGTCAACAGGGCCCAGGTGGGCAGCAGCTGGTCTCGATGTGCTCTGAGACTTTTGCTAAGTAGCCCCAGGCTCAGCACTGGCATCAAACCAGAGTCTACATTAACCTGTTGACAACAACTCTTCCCACTCTAGTGACTCCCTAAAACCCTGCCTCACCCAAGTTGTGTACCGCACAAGGCTTTATCAGGGATTAAAACTTAAGGGAGCCAGCAGGTGGCAGCAGGCCTTGGAGTGTCCTGCCTTTTGCGGAGCTACCCCAGGCCCGATACTGGTGGCAGCCATCATCAGCTCACAGCATGGCCTTTCCCACACACCTCCAAGGTTAGCACAGGCAGCAAACAACTGCAGATCACTTCTTTCTTTACCCTAAGACAAAGGAAATATTGAAAGGAAGACATTTTGATGACATTCCGGACATCAAGGGTAATACAACGACAGCTCTGATGGCTATTCCAGAAAAAAGAGTTCCAAAATTGCTTTGAAGGGTGGGCTAGGTGCTGGCATCGGTGTGTAGCTTCCCAAGGGGGGTACTTCGAAGGTGACCATAGTGATATTCAGCAATGAGGTAAGTAGCACTTTTTCTAGGATGGGTTTGGGAACTTAATCATCAGACCTCGTATGTTAAATGTGATCACTTTATTTTATTTTAACATAATCATTTTAAAAGGAAGGTACCAATAAAAGTTCAAAATTGAAATCTGCTTCAAGATGTCAAATTGAATACATGTATAACAAAACTGAAAAAACTACTGTAGGAGAGGATCAAATTTTCCTTCAATCCTTCTAGGTTCTTTGGCCGGTTTGGTAATTAAATTGACATAAGACAGATTAACAGGAGAAAAACAATATTTTTTATCGTTCAATATAATATTCCATTTTATTCAAATGTTTAAAAATATTATTTGCATATGTCTTTGTAGATTTACATCCCTTTCAATATTACTACCAAGACTGTTAATGGCATCCTAAAGCAGGAACCCAGAAATAAGTCTTATTCATTTCTTTTTTTTATTTTATTTTATTAAATTTACCGGGGTGACTTGGTTAATAAAATTATATAGGAGAAAAAGACAAACTTAATTTTGTACATGGGGGAGGCCCCCACAAAAATATGAGACCCAAAGGCACAGGCAACTGAGGCTTATATGCCATCCTGAACCAAGGAACAGGGATAGGGTCCTGAAGCTTCAAAGGGAAGGAGGCCAATTCACAGGAAAATAAAGGTAGATGTTTGGTCACCAGACCTTTGCTTTGCAATGTAGGTAAATCTTCCAGATAAAAAAGTTATCTCTGGTAATACAGCTCTTTCTGGGCCAGGCCCCTGATCTAAATTCTTTTAGGCAGTTAAGAATTTAGAGAAGTATAAGTTTTTCTTGAGTCTGCTGGGTCTTGATTGCCTTCAGCTCAAAATAATCTGCATGTCAAAGCAGAATATCTTGGGTGGCCTATTCTGCTACCCTTCACTACCAAACAAATTTCAAAAGATCCCTGAGCAGATCAGAATTTGTGAGCAGACAGGATGTATTTGACGTGAGACAAGAGCAAAACCTATAACAAAACTCATGCAAAAGAAAACTATTGAGAGGTTAAAATAGCCATTCCCAACAAAGCTTCCATCTCAGAGTCAACCAAAAACATGTCTGGGACAATTATCAAAGCAATGAAGTAAAGGAAGAACTCAGAATACATAGATCTTTCAAGTACTTTCCCCTCTTCTGCTTATACTAAACAGGAGGCATCCTCAGCATTTGACTTTAGGACAAAATTCCTAGAACTGCTTTCTAAACAAAGTGAACAATTTATAGTATGTGGGGGAAGAGGGTGTGAATGTAGGTATAGAGTGGGGGGTATCCTTGTTAGTGATGATGCTAGAGAGAGGCAAAGCAGATAGCCAAAAAAGAACTGCTAATTTCAACTTTTGCCACTGGCAAGAACCATGAGATCAGTTCTAACACAGATAGCTTCCAGAATGGGCACTGATGCCTGAGAAGCAGGGAGGTGACCCAGGTTATTTGCAACAGGATGGAAAGAGAAGCTCCCACTCCCACAGAAGACAGGTTATTCAACCTATCCAATTGCATTTCTGGACCTTTCCCCATTTCCGATATGCACATTTCCCTCCCTCCAGCCCAATGGTATTCTAGGCAATGACCAAGATGCAAGATTTCTGAAATCAAAACTAATTCAATTCAACAAATAAACATCAATTCTAGGATGAAAGCTCATTGCAAAAGGGTTGTCATTTTTCTCTGCTGTATCCCTATAAGAGGGTAATTGCACAGTAAATATTTGTTAAATTGATAAAAGCAAGACAATGGAAATAACTTAAATGCCCAACACTGATGGAATTGCTTAAGTAGTGATCCATACAGCTAAATATTATGCAACCATTAAAATGTTTATTTAGGGGCCAGCCGAGTGGCACACTAGCTAACAGCTGGCTTGGGACACCAGCTCTGAGCAGCAGGGCCCCAGTTCGGATCTTACATTAGGGCCAGTGACGCTGCGCCCTCTACAGCTAAGATGGTGAACAAGAGCTCGACCTGGAGCTGGGCTGCCTTGAGTCACCAGCGACGGCGTAGGCTGCAGTGGGGCTGGAGGGCAGCAGGTATGAGCTTTCCTGAGCTGCCAAGATCCGCCTTGAGTGGCCGACCAGTGTCCAGCGACCAATCTGCCTCACCCGGGAAGAGCGCAATATAATACCAACATAGGCCAGTGAAGCGACGTCCTCCACAACTAGACTGAACAAAAGGACAGCAACTTGTCTGTTCCCCTT